ATCCTTTGCCTTTGATTTCAAGACTTCTTGACCAACTCAATCAAGCAAAGATCTTTACCAAAATAGATCTACGAGGAGCATACAACTTACTTCGTATCAAAGAAGGAGATGAATGGGAGACTGCTTTTTGAACTAAGTATGGACATTTTGAATATAATGTCATGCCTTTTGGACTCACAAATGCACCAGCTGCTTTTCAACATCTTATGAATGATATTTTTTGTGAGTTCTTAGATTAATTTTATTGTTTATAATATAGATGACATTCTAATCTACTCTAAGAACACAGAAGAACATGAACTTCATATTTGTCATGTGTTATAGAAACTTAGAGATGCAGGATTATATGCCAAGTTGGAAAAGTGTGTATTCCATACTACTCAAGTTGACTTTTTTGGGTACATCATTTCCAACGAAGGCCTTATGATGGATTCCAAGAAGGTTCAAACTATCATAGATTGGAAGATTTTGAAAACAGTATGAGATGTGCAATGATTTTTAGGCTTTGCTAATTACTATAAAATCTTCATCAAGAATTTTTCTCAAGTTGTAGCTCCACTTATACAGTTGACTTGTAAAGACAAACTTCAGCAGAATAAAGAAGTAGAAGCATCATTTGATGCTTTAAAAAAAATAATTTATTTCTGCACCAATCTTATATTGCGTTGACTTCTCCAAGGTATTTTTTATGGAAACAGATACGTCAGATTTTGCTATAGGTGCTCTCTTGTCACAAATGGGAACAGATGACAAACTCCACCCAATAACTTTCCATTCAAGGAAATTTTCAAAAGCCAAGATTAATTATGAGATCCATGACAAAGAGCTCCTTGCAATCATGGATTCATTTCAAGAATGGCATCATTATCTATAAGGCACCTTAAGTCTAGTTACCGTATATATAGACCATAAGAACTTTGAGTACTTCATGTCAACACATGTCTTGAATTACCGTCAAGCTTCTTGGAGCATGTATTTATCTAGATTCAATTTCAAGATCACTTATTGACCCAAAAAACAACAAGGTCTATGGTACGTTCTTTCTAGATGTTCTTATCTTACACCAAAAGAAGGAAATGCATCTTTTGATCAATAAAGATCAATTCTCTTAAAGCTCGAGCATTTTCATTTTTGAGCTATAAAATCAACATTGGCTCTTGATTCAACATTTGTAAAGCAAATTAAATCAAGCATGTCCTCCGATCTTCTTATTCACGATATCAAAGTTACTTCTTTTAAATCTCATGATACTTCTAAGTTTGAATTTAAGAATAATCTATTATATTTTGAAGGACACCTATATGTTCTAGAAGGTGAAGCTCAATCATGTATTTTTCAAGCTCGTCATGACTTTCCAACACTAGGATATTTTAGATATAATAAAACTTTGGAACTAATATTCAAGGATTTTTGGTGGCCGCAAATGTGGAAGGCACTTAAAACTTTTGTACAATCTTGTGATGTTTGCTCAAGATCAAAAACTCCTTGTCATCGACCTTACGGACTTCTTCAGCCATTACCCATTCCAAAACAACCATGGTCTTCTGTTTTTATGGATTTCATCATAGATCTTCCAATCTCAGGTTTTTATGACTCTATATTCGTGACAATAGATCGTTTTATCAAGATGGCACATTTTGTACCATGTACAAAATCTATTACAGGTGAAGAAATAGCTAAGCTTTTCATTGACATTATCTATCGCTATTATGGATTGTGAAAGGATATTATATTAGATAGGGGGACTCAATTTATATCAAGATTTTAGAAAATCCTATTTAAGATTCTAAAGGTGGATATAAAGCTTTCTTCAGCTTTTCATCTTCAAACTGATAGACAAACAGAATCGATAAATCAAGTTTTAGAGTAGTATTTGAAATGTACCATCAACTATTATCAAGATGATTAGACAACTCTTTTGCCATTGGCAGAGTTTGCTTACAATAATATGATATATTCTTCTACAAAACAAATACCTTTCTTTGCTAATTATGGTTATCATCCACGTCTTGATACTTTTGACTTTTCAAAAGTTGATAATCTTGGGGCGGAAGATTTAGCAAATCGCTTGTTAGAGCTATATACAACAATGAAGATATAATTAAAGGAAGCTCAAGAACAACAAAAGACCAATATGGATGCCTATCATAAGGAGCAACCACAATATAATATAGGTGACAAGGTATGGTTACTTTGTCAATATCAAGACTATTCATCCTTGTGATAAATTAGATTATCGTAGGCTAGGACATTTTCCTATTTGTGAACAAATCAATCTTGTTACCTATCGATTACATCTATCGAAGTCTATGAAGATCCACCCTGTATTTCACATGTCTCTTCTGGAGCCATATAAGATAGTGAATATCTTGACAAGAAGACAAATAACACCTCTTCTTATAATAGTAGATAATAACCAAGAGTTTGAGGTAGAAGAAGTCTTAGACTCAAGGTTGCACCAAAATAGTTTGGAATATCTTGTTCATTAGCGTAGATATGATATTAGTGAACGTACATGGGAGCCATCAAAGAATCTTGCAAATGCAGCAAAGAAAGTTGAAGACTTTCATCAACGATATGCATCAAAACCAAGATGAAGAATAGCAAACCTTTGCTATAAAAGAAATAAGATCATAGGAAAATAACATTCTACCTTCTATCTTTTATTGTAGCTTTTGTGTATTTGTGATGAGATGGAGCACTAACAACTAGCAGATTCAACTCAAGAACTTTCATTTGTAGACTTATTAGATGAAACATTACGATTGTCACAATGTTCAAGATGACGGAATCGAGATGAAGATCCTCAAGAACAACATGTCTTTCCTCGAATAGATGGCGAAATACAATGTGTTTGATATCACGACCTTAGAAGAGACTACCAATGTTTAGTGATTTTATTAGAAGTAGGAATAATTCCTGACGATGTTCCAAATATTTTATTTGAGCAAAGTTATGAAGGCCTCAACAATGACCAAATAATAAGGTAGTCTTCTTACCCTAGTATGAAATACTATAGGTGGTTGAGAGGACCTATCAACCATCTTCGAAGAGAGCAAAGATCAAAGTATGTAGCAAATATAATTTGTTGCATCTTGGACTTCCTCAACATATAAAGACCGCTCCTCGTGGAACTTGTCCTTAGAAGGGAAAGTAATATCATGGACATATATATTTATCTCAATAGTTACTTATAAGATTAAGTAGAAGTAGGTAAAATAGAATAATTTCATAAAGTCTTCTAGAGAAGCTTCTTAGAAGCTTCATAGATGCGGTTTTGACTTTAGATAAGTTTGTAGGTTAGAAACTTGGCCAAAAAGCTAATCATGTATTGGTAGCTTGTGGAACAAGTTATCTCCGTATAGTAGCTTGTGGAACAAGTCAACTACATAGCGCATATATAGATAACTTGCCTTGTAAGATAAGACATGTGGCTACCAAAGTCAATACATTTTGGAGGTCCTAGAGAACATCACCACGTAGCTCTTACTTAAATAGTATATATGGAGGTAAGAGTGAAGCCTTCTTCACTCTTGTCAATGCCTTTTTAGTCTTAGTCTTGTTTCAAGACTTTCTAATCTTCTTGTTTTTGGCAATAGCCATTCTAGTTAATATTACATCACCTTTAGGGTGACTTTCTAGTTCTCTTCAATGATAGAAGAGTGTATTGAGGATTCTCTTTCTTCGAAATTCATGTCCTTGACATCTAGTCCACTAATTTAGCTTCAATTCTAAAAACTTCTATAACTTCTTTAAAATGGTTCCAACTATCTATCCTTATATATTAACAATATAAATATCTTATTTATATCCCATTACACTCAACACACAATACCTCATATCAATACTTTGCTCTTGTACTGCAATGTCTTTTGATACAGTACTACAACAAAAAATTGATTGATTTTGGTACCTAGTAGTACCCAAAATCTAACAATAAAAATAAAATCTAATTTGTAATTTTTATTTTAATTTTTAATTTATTTCATTCTAATTTGCTATACTATAATTTGAAGAAAAAGAGAGATTCTTGTTAGTTGAATGATTAGAAATCTAAACCAAATTAAATCAAGCTATCTCTCATACTACAAAAAAGAAATCTAAGAATGCAAGTGTGAAAATAAGAAAAACCTTAAAGCTTTATTAAAATGGCAAACTCTTACAACAAATTCTTTGACTTTCAAAATCATTCACAAAACTTGACTTGACTTAAGTACTCAAATCTAATTGAGATGAATAAATCAACTAATGGAAAAACTATCAATGGATGAAAAATCCCTAATCAAACTAAATTACATATATTCGACGAGATTTGGCACCTAATGCCATATCGCATGACATCTTTTAAAAAAATTGTTATAATTATTTATTACATAATAAGATCATATATATATATATATATATATATATATATATATATTTATATATATTTATATTTATTTTCAAACTTATATTTTTTTATACATATACACAGACACATACACATATATATATATATATATATATATAGGGAAATGTTAAATAGACCCATGCTTTTACTAAATCAACCCATCCTTGATGAAGAATATGGTAATCATGATGAATGTGGTTGAGAAATGAATGTAGAAGTCATTTATTTTTTCATGGTCGTTAGAATGGGTGGGTCGGTTTAACATTCCCATATCTATCTATCTATGTATTATTGGAGAGTTTGAATCAATGACCAAGCCATCCAAACTTCCCAACCAATCAGTAATAGGACAAGCCCACCCAAACACGGCCATAGACTCCCCAACTCCAGTTGCGTCGTGGGGTCCCATTACGCAACACTACAGCGTCGTTGTTGAAGGCGGCGCGCCTCGCATCGTCGCGACGACGCGCCGTGAAGTGAGTGAGTACCCGAATGAAGGAACGAAGGGGGATTCAGCTGCCAAGACGCCGTAGAGGCATGGAGGACCGGCCTTCAAATCGCCTTCCGTGCCCAGACCCCTACACTTCCTGGGGACACACGATTTCTAGGTGCCAACAGCGATGGCGCTTGTGCCGTGACCCGAGTGGACTTGAGGCTACAGAGGATTCGCTTGCCTGCTGGGCCCGCCTTCTCCTTCCTCGGTTTGCGTTTTCTATATTTAAACCTCCTGTAGTGCATATCCCTCATCTTGCGTGGAATTCTAGAAAGTGCTTCTGGACTTTTTTGGAGTGAGGAGGAGGAAGAGCGGGAGAGAAAGAGAGTGAGAGAGAGAGCGAGAAGGAGGATGGGACAGGTAGAGTTTGATCGAGTGTGAGGGTTTGGGAAGTTTTGTATTGTGAGAATTTGTGGTGGTCTTCCTTGGGTAATGGCGGCGTTATACTACTATAGCGATCCTAGGCCGTTCCACAGCTTCCAGCCGCTTCAGCCTAGTAGCTCGCTTGATTATGTGAGTTTTCTAGGAATGGTTCTTGTTTAGTATCGTTGCGGATTCTTTTGGTGGTTGTCTTATTTCTCGATCTTGTTTTGACTGGGCAGGCGTGTGCATTGTTTGTCGATTGTGAGTTCGTTGATTCGTCTTTTTGGTTGAATGCAGTGGTTTTATCCGAACAAGGATTATCTGCAGCACACGAGTGAGCAATCCAAGAATAATAAGGAGAAGAAAGACGAGAAGAAAGACGAAAAGAAAGATAACAAGAAAGAGGAGAAAAAAGACGACAAGAAGGGTGGTGAGAAGCAGGCAGAGAAGAAAGATGACAACAAGCCGAAGGTGGGTTTGAATGACATTGATCTCTGAATAAATCGTGGTTGTTGTGCTCCCTTTCATCTCCGATATTGATTTTGTAGAATTATTCTGAGTTGCTTGCAAGTGCAGCCTGTAGAAGATTGCAAATGCTCTCGATACCATCGCCTTTCTCTTTTTGTCTTCTACTTTTTATTGAAATACTTGTTTATTCTTCTATTCCATAAATGTTGGTTCATTCTGAGCTCATACTTTGCTTCTTTCTGTGGTGCAGACCATCGAATTAAAGGTGCCCTTGTGCTGCGAATCGTGCGCTCGCAAAGTGAGGAAAAGACTCGGAAGGTTGGATGGTGAGCTAAAAAAACCCCTCTTCTGCAACTTATTGTGGTTTAGGCTGTTAAGCTGCTCCTCTTTTAGTTTCGCTGCATAGTAGGCAAGAAAAACGAAGGTTCTACCGCGACTCGAATTCTCCACCAGTTCCCACCTGTCTAGAGTCGCAGTTGAAAGATCTGAATAAATAGTTTCTTGCCGAAGACGATGCATCGCCTCAATCAAAATGTATGTTTAGCCACCATTCTTGGTATTTGTGCAGGGGTCCAGAAGCCTGTGATTTGTGACCTGTATCTCATGAAGGTGACAGTGACAACCACTGCGAAACCGGATGTTGTTCTGAAGACAGTGCAGAAGGTGAAGAAGGACGCCGAAATATGGCCGCAACAGAAGAAATGAAGAGGAGTTAAGTCCTTTTTTTTTGTTATCGTTTTGAACAGACTTATAGCCACTTAGGATGAGCTTTGGAGCACGCGATCGACTGTAAGAGCAGGCAGTAGTACTTGTATATGCTTCCCGTTGCGTCGAATCATGGTTCTTGATGTGATAGTCCTGGGATTTTGCAATAGGTACTTGTTTAAAGAACAGAATCAAGTGGACTACGACCTAGTCAATTAGGTTCGCGCGAACATCTTGCTGAATGCGACTTCAGCACTTTTGTAGATAATTTAGCACTTGAAAGGTTCATTCTCTAAACGAAAATGCATTCTTCATAGTCCTTTCTATTTTTAGATGTGTGTGTTTCTAGCAAGAAATTACTCTAAGTTCATCGTTGTTAAGAGTGCTCAGAGGTAGTTTTCTATATTGTGTGCATGCTTATGTCGCCACCGTGATTTGGAATTTGAATAGAGGAACAGTTCTGATTCATTTCTCATCTGAATTGTTTTGTTCCTCAAGTGTTCCACAAAGCCAAGATGCTCTGTATTCATAGTGAACCGGAAGCTCACCTCCTATTCTGGATCATTGCTCCTGATTTTGTAAAGGACAGTCCCGCTCTTATTTATTTATTTATTTATGTTTATTAAAAAACTTTCCTTTACTTTCTGAAACTGAAAGTACTGTATATATTACCTTTTCAGTCAGTTTGGTTGCAACTAGACGTTGTCTCTCACGGGACATTGCCGTCTACCTTTGACCCTAATAATCCAAAAGTAGTCAAGCTGCTTAGATATGACTGGACATCTCACTCCTTACCAAGGGATCTTCAGAAGTACTGGAGGGTGAACATCTGCCACTTGGTTACAGATGAAGGTGTTTTTCCATGGCAGTTGACAATCATTCACAGTCGCCGTCTGTTGATTCGGCATTACGAGCTAATGGAAGGGAGATAATTTGCACTCAGCATCTCCAGGGACTGTCGAATTTTCAGTGTCTCTTTGTGCAGAGCCCACACTCACAACAACTTCCAATCTATTTCACATGCTTCCTCACAGTTGCATTCTACCAGCTCACTACATAAGTACACACAATCAACATACAAAACCTGAAGCCGACCGAACAGACAACTACAAAAGTATGCCCTGGAAAAAACAACGAAGCAGATTGAACAGTGTCCCCAGCGACAATCTCCAAGCACCCACATCATCAACGACAACAGCATGCGTTCTCAAGCTGCACATCTGAATGTAAAAGCAAATTTGCAATCCATACCAAAAAGCATCAATCCCATCCTCACACCTAACAAAGACGAACCAATCGAACACTCCCTTGTCCACAGAATCCTCAAAAATGCTGGCATTCTTCCTTCGCCTAACTATGTCCACATCTCCGGCGAACCCCACATCTTCACACAACACACCCACTCATCACCCATGCCATTTCTCCTTCTACATGCACCGCATACACCACAACCACACTCTCCACTAACCTGTACCACTCTTCGCCACCGCATACACCACAACCACACTCTCCACTAACCTGTACCACTCTTCGCCACCGCATCATCAACTTCTCCTACGTTCCGCCACTCCCAGTAACTGCACTCACACCATTGTCCTACGCTAACCAAACCCTCCAAACCACTACTGCAATCTGGAAACGTCTGCCTCCCAGCTACATTCTTTTCATCCGTGTGCCAAACATTCAACCACAACCTCCCCATCGTTCTCACCCCCTGCCTCCTGCTCCGCAACACCAGTATATACATCTGTACACGTGTATGTATATACATACTCACACATATATATATATGTATGTATGTGAGTCTCATCTCCTGTATTCCCACTGACTGACCCTCCGTTGCTCACGCGGGGCTTCTCCAGTCTAACATGTACTGTTTCTCAATAAAATACAATCATTGTACATGAGGAGCATCTTCCCTCCCCTATCAATACCTCCACCCCGCCAATGGCCAACCCCTTGCCACTGCTTCACCCGCAATCTCCAGGTCTATATCCACATACACTATACTACACACGGCCCTATCATCCACGCCTACTTAAGGTGCAACTGGGGAGTCCTCCCTACTACTACCTCCATATGATGCTTCCTCTACGTCTTTACAAACTACGACTGATCGACATGCCGCTTTGCTGTACTACCTGCAGCCACTGCTGCTTCACTTCACAGTCCGCTCCTGCAACCCTTCCAGCTCCCAAACAGGGGCACACTCCACCTTCGATCTCGTTCCACCACCTCACCCGAAACGTAGCCCAAACCACCCTCGCCACTGCCCATCCCCTGCCACGCGCATCGCTTACCCCTCAGTCCCCAGTCACCCCCTCGCTCTCCGCTGCACGTCGAAGCTTCCTGTTCCATCAGCTCTTGCGCACTTCCAACGCGTCAGCTATTCGACCTACGCTTGTCAGCAACTTGTCCAGCAACGTCATCAGCCCTTTCCCTTCTTCTATCCGCAGCTCGCGATCGTGGCGCAGCTGCAGCTGCAAGTTCCGGCTCGTGCTTTCCAGCGCAGCCAGCAATTTCTCTTCTATCGATTCCGGTCGCCGCTTCCTCTTCTTCCTTTTCGTCAGGCTCTCTTCCACCTTCGGGCACCCTGCGCACACGACCCCATATGCTTAATCAATGCGTCGCCACTGCATACGTGCCTGGAACTTGGGATGTTCCACAGTTGCAGCACTGCCTGAAAGCTACCCCTCCCTGCCGTAATGTCAACCCACCTAGACAGCTACCCGACTTGACATATCTATCTCCTGTCCCAGTCGCCGCACCATGACAACCCCCCAATCAGCCCAAGAGCCCATCACTTACCCGTCACGTCCGTCGAGTTCCCCAGCCCGCACTCCTCCGACGACGCCGGATTTCCCAGACCCTCCACCTCGTCCACCAGCACGTCCATCTCCTCCTTCCCAGCCACCGCTGCTTCCGAAGTCACCTTCGCCGAAATCGCAGGCAACTTCTTGCAATAGTTGTCCAACACCTCGAACACCTCGTGCTCGAAACTGGAAGCCAGTTTCTGCTCTCTCCGCTGCTCCGCCGTCATGGCCCAGTACGAGCCCCCGTGCAGCTTCTCGTAATCCTTTATCTTCTTGTAGTCTTTGTACAAGCTGTGCCACCTCTTCCGGCACTGGCTCGCGTCTCGCTCTACTCCCAGTTCCTTGCAGTACTGAAATATGGTCACCCACTTCACATCCGAAGCGTCCACCCCCCTGGCCGTGCTGTCCAGAGACTTGTCCAGCTCCTTGCTCTTTGCAGCCACCAGCACCAGCGATTCGTGCTTCGTCCACCGCAGCCCCCTCTGCCCCTTGTCGGGGCCTTCCATCCTCGGCGAAATGCTCACGCTCTTAGTTGGCGCATACCCGAGAGCACGGCTTTCGCCTTCGGTGGTCGCCACGCCACCAGCGACTTCTTGCATGATTCCTGGATGTCACGGTCGTATACCTGCGAGGCCCGCATAACCACTTCAGCCGTTCCGGGTCTCACAAACGCGCCCGGATATGCCCATGGCGCACCCACTTCACGCGGGGAAAACCTGGCGGTTCAACACTGCCCAGCTTGCGTGCATCAGGTCGTACTTGACCATGACCAAAAGCTACCTCCAGGTTTCCTGCTCTGCTGATCCGAGGCAAAGCCCGCAAACTAGTTCCTCCGAGACCACTTACACACGCCCACCCCCATCACAACGTACTTTCCAGCCACCAATTCTACTTCATGGCTTCACACGCCCAATCCACACTAAAAACCCAAAAGCATCAAACAATGAATCCGACCCACCTTTACCAGCGATTGGCGATACAAAAGCGCAATTGGCGTTCCAAACCATGCCGTCCCAAACCACCACAATTCTCTCCCGATTCCCACCTGGACCGCGACGGCACACACCCCTCGTCAATCCGACCACCCCACCCCGACCCAATTCTTGAAACCCGCGCCCAATTCCCAACTTTCCCACGGCTACATCAAAACCCCTGCGATTTCCTCTTCTGTGTACCGCGCGCTCCTCCTCAATACCACCAATTCAATCCCAAAACAACACCACCGCGCCGCCAATTCTCATCCCACGCTCGACAGCCACCAAACTGTGCGCTTGAATGCCACACCCAGCAATAATAACGGTGCTACTGCTCGAAGCAGCCCCAATTCGCATCCCTCCCCTGCGCTCTCACGGGTCGCTCCACACAAACGCAATCGTCCACCAAGACACACCCCCAAATCTCCTCCGATTCGCACCGATAAACCCAATTCAGGCCGAGCCCGATCCACTACTAGGCGTCGCCCGGCCAATCCATAACCCACGCAGCACAATTCAAGGACCACTCTCTCAATTCCAAAAGGGTGTAGCGAAATTTACCTCAGCGCAGATTGCAGCCCGGGTCCATGCGAATTGTACCTCACTCATACAGCAAGCGTCGTCATCCTCCACCAGAAAAGGGTCCGCGGATTGCAACGGCAGAGGATCACCAGCACGAGGCGATGCATGGCATGAATTGGAAGAGCATCACGTGGAGGAAAGAGGATGCAAGCGTGCTCCCCCAAACACAGAGAACCCTAGTTTTCATCATCTTCGATTCCGGCATCTCCCTCCTCACTGTGTAAGGAGTTTCAAGTCAAGGACTTCAACGAAAAAGCAAATCCCAAAACACCCTTCCCTCCTCGTCACTACGTGTCGCAGAAACCTCCTTATTCAATCGACTGGCTCCGCCATCGTGGACCGTCGGATCGCAGCTGCGGCTCGGTTGCAATCTCAACCGCTGATGAGATTTCTGGGAACGGAGGGAGGAAACGTAGGGGAACCAGAGGGGCGGGCAGGTTGGAGGCCGGGCAGTATGGAGGGCGGTAGGTTGGGAACTCAGAACCCACTCCTCATTGGGCCCGCACTGAATCCACATTCACAGACATGAATGCTGAATTTTGTATAATATAAATATATAAGTATTTAAAAATGTGAATATTACACGATATATACTTTTAATTTTTAAATATATTTTTGAAATATATATGTTTTTAATTTTATTTAATTTTAAACAACTTTTTAGAAAATGTAATTTTGAATTAGTATTTTTTGTACATTATCTTATTGAACACAATGTTTTTTTAAATGTTTAAAGGTAATTGTAGCACTATTTATTTTCTAAAAATAGAAAATCTTAATTTGCATTTTTACTTCAATAGATAACCAATTATTTATTTGAAAAAATCATTTGCATTAATATTGTAAATTGTAAAGACTAAAATACTTAAAAAGACTAACATTATGTAAATTAATATATATGTGTGTGTATGTATATATATATATATATATATATATATATATATATATCATTACATTATTAATATGATATTTTAAATTTTAAACTTGCAATATGTGTGTGTATGTATATATATATATATATATATATACATATATACATATATATATCATTACATTATTAATATGATATTTTAAATTTTAAACTTGCAATATGTGTGTGTATGTATATATATATATATATGTATATATATACATATATAT